CATGAGCATGAGGAAAGGGGTGAACAGAACATGACCATAAGCTTGTGTGACTGTCCTAATCTACAGATTGCCTACCAAACAAACTTTACATTTAGGATTCCAGCTAGAAGCTGAAATCACTAACCCCTACCTCAAAATGAGGATGAAAATTTTAAGGTGAATATATACAAAGATAAGCTCAGTTCCAGGTATCTGCCAGAAGAGGTAGAGACTTAAGACCAGGCTCAGAAGACCTTCTGATTTGGCTTGCCAAGAAGAGCCAAGTGGGAGAGGAGAACCTAAGAACCAACATTAAGTAATCATTTAATTCATCCTGGGGCTCACCTTTGCAAAAAGCATTTAAAATGCCACAATCCATGTTAACTACTCGTTAAATTTTAAAGTACGGAAATGTAAAAGAATTTGTGCTAAAAAGCAGCACAAGGACATAGAATGATTTCCAACTCTGAACTTTAGCTGATGAGACTGAAGTAAGCTGACTGAACATTCACAGGCTATGCCAAGAGCTAAAACACTTCTGGTAGAGCAGTGCAAAGGAAATGGAAGTAGACAGAAACCAGATTTACTGAAAAGCTAGTTACCCAAACATACACAAAAGAACAGATTTAGTTTAGTGTCTTAAATTTATAATGGCTTTTAAAAAAACTGTTCTGGTTGTTCTGTATTTCAGCAGATTACAAATTAAGGTAGAAAAGGAGAGGAAAATTGCATTTAAGCTAATAATACTACCATACTATGCCTCTTGGGGAAAAAAAAGTCTTTTTTTTTTTTTTTAAAAGAAATTCTCATGGTTCTCAATTTAATTCTCTTAAGGAACAAGTTGACAGGGTCACTAAAGGTCACACAATTGCTGGTGCCTCTCAAACTCCTTAAGTGTAGAGACAGATAATATACAACTATTCACACCGGTGACTCAAAAAGAACATGGCCTACCTTACCCACCAGTTTTCTGCCCAAACCAGCCTCCCAATTCAATCTTGCTCCTTGGACTCCTCTTTAACAGATCTGACCTTTTCCTGAATCAGAGGTGAATGACCTAGCATTCTGACCCTTCGGGGTACTCACCAAGGTAACAAGAAAAATAACAAGAGAATATAAATACTTCAGAGACTACTGAGCAAACTGGTCTCCCCCTACCTTCCATTTCCTTTAAGCCCCATCTCTCTTTTCCCATCTCTAAGTTCTACATCTTTCTCCTTCACTCCCCCAAAATGTCTTGGACCATGATAGGGTTGGAAAGGGAAAAACAGAGCAGATGAATTAGGTTGTCCTAAGTACCTTTTGTGCTGACAAGGAAAGGAGGTGGGATAGGAGGGAAACAAAATGGCCTGCCTATGCCCCCTCCCCCAAATAAATTAATCCCTAGCCTCCTATTAACATTATCAAAACTTACAGCATCCCTCCACACTCTGCAGTTCTTCAGCCCTATCGGCAGATAGTACTAAAAGAGAAATTCAGGGAGGAAAGGGTAAAAGAGAAGACTAAAGAGAGGAGGACACTGAACAATATTGTTATGTTTCCAAAGACCTTTATTTTTCTGTTTTGTTTATTGGGGGGGGGGGAGGCCCACACAACAGGGGAGGAGAGAAAAATGCATGGGGAGGGGAGAAAGGGAAGAAAGACCTTTAAAATGCAAAGAAGGGTAATGCTGGCAACTTACCGTAGGATTTAGAGTAATGTGTGGTGCCAGACCTCCCAGTGAATAGACATTGATGTCATGGTAGCTGTACTGAGGCTGTGGAGGAACAGTAGCTGTACAAGTGGTACTGGTAGCAGGTGTGGTAGAAGTAGCTTGATATAAAAAGGGATAAAAACTAAAATTAGAGCTACTTAGAAAACACATCAAGTGTTTTACAGAAGTTCAGTAGCTCCGGATTTGAACAGTCAGAGTAAATTAATTAGCTGGATTGCTAATCTGGAAAAAAGCCATAAAATATCATTAAATCTAGTCAATCTGCCTCCAGAGTATTGACCCACTCTCAGGAATCCTGCCTCCTACACACAAACAGGTGCCTAGATTTAGATGCCCCTCAGGAGACCACTCATAACTTCACCAGAAGAGTTCAAGGCCCTGTAGTCACATTACATCAAGCCACATGGTTAAGCCCCAGGGCTGAGAGGCTGGACAAGGACACAGAGTTGAAGAGCTTTGAGTTACACTGGGAATAATGATATTCTCTCCAAGGAGTCCCCAGACCCCCAGGGGATACCCAATCTGTCTTGCCCGCTAGAACCATCCTAACCCAGAAACAAACCACTTTTGTTCACTGTAGGATGGAGTAAGGGCCCCAGTTAGTTTGAGGAATAACACAGATCCACTTATGACTTTTAAATTCTTATAGACAGTAAACTCTAATTCAACACAGTATTAGGTTTTCTAGTCAGTCAAGTATTTTAGATTGTTGCCGTATGTATACACATGCATAAGTACACATGCATATGTTTTCAACTTTTGGTGGAAAAAAGCAAAAGAAATCTATAGAATCAACACAATTGAATCTTTCCATGAATATTCAGGAAGGCCCATCAGGATTTCAGGATACCCTGAATATCACTATCAATACAATGGATCACTGGGCTTCAGCTATAAAGACTATCCTAACTAGTATAAAAAGCAGGAAAACTCTGCTTTCACTAACTATACTCACTGGTGGTTGTGATGGGAGGAAGTGCCTCCGGCTGCTTGACGTCCTTTTTGGGGGCAGAAAGCTGTTCTTCTAAGTTTTTCAGTCTGTCCTTGTCCTTCAGGAGGCTCCCAGGTTTTAGCTCATTGATGTCCAGGGCAAGATTCTTGCAGAGAACCTCAATCTCAAACTTCAAGTTTAGCTGCATCATTACAGTTGAATTAGATTTCAAACGTCTAAAGTCCAGCTTCACTCACTACCCACTAATTTGTTTCCCCTCTTACAGAGCTTGCAGACTGCCTTCAGAAGCAGGGCTGCACACCACAAAACAATGGATTTTATTCACCTTTATGTACACAATACACAAAAGCATCTGTTTCTTGCATAATGTCCCAAGAGAACAATAGTTTGCAATATAATGATAATAAATACATTTACCTTTAAATCATGTTCTTGGTGAAGCTCAGCTAGTACATTCATAATTGCCATTGTCCAAGGATTTGGTGGCCTGAAAACCTAAAGAAAAAGCAGTAAGTTGACCAAAAAAACCTTATTTTAAAATATCTACCCTGTTGTACACGTGCATCTAAAAGTCCTAATTATATGCAAAGTCTCCAAGTCCTCTTTATATCATAAAAAGAACAGAATATGAAAAAATAAGGAAACTTACCATTGCCTAGGTCTAAGCTCTCAATTATAAGACAGAGGAGAGACCTGAGGGCCAGATCAGAAGTTATTTGCCTAAAGTCATACACCTTCTGTCAAGTATAGGACATATACCCAGACCACCTGATTATCGAGTCTAGTGTTCTTACTAGCATACTGGATACTAAAAAGATACTGAAAGAGAATCAACTCTGATGTCAGTAGCACCTAAAGTTGCAAGGTGGTAATGACTATGATTGTAGCTAATTCCACTAAAAAATATAAAGTTCTTCTTACCACACTCCGAACACTGGATTCTAAGACTTTGGCAACAAAGGGCACCACATACAGCAATTCCTGCTGTCCTTTAACATAAGCTTCCAACAGCAAAGATTTCACATCTAAGTCCTGGAACAAACAGGAAAATAATATTTAAAAGCCTAAAGATACTTCACATGTAAGTAATTTTAAGTATGCATCCAGCACACACATAGCTGAAAGACATCAACAGGAACCCGTAGGAAATAGATGGGGTGAACTTTTTCTACATCTATTACAACCTACTGGTGTTCTTTCCAGAAGAGAACATAACCACGGGATAAAACTGCATTGCAGCCTCACCTACTATAATGTGGAATACTAAGAAGCATGGGGCAGAGATTGTTAGCACATGCCCAGATCTTGAAATTCCAAATGTCTCCTTGCCCCAGAAACCCGCCAATAAACCATAATTCAGACTAAAAAGTTACTGGCAGCAGTTTAGTCAGTAGACTCACATGATATAACATCAAAGGACATCTGGCAATCATTTAGGTGAATTCCACCTTTTCATGAGGTGAGAAAGGCAAATTAACTCTCTTGGGGTCCTATACTCAGAGGGTAGGAGAGAGGGGACTTGATTCCCAGGATAAAGCCTCTATGCCCAAGCTTGAGTAGCAAGTGCTAGACACAGTTTTTAATGGAAACTCACTGTATGTAAGATGGGTTTGTTTTTGGCTAGTGTGATCATCCCCAGCCAGTGGCCCAGGTTCTTCAGCAAGGAGCGGTCTGAGAAGTTGGCTGCTGCTTTATCTGATGTCAGAAGCACCTAAAACATTTTTTTTAAAAAAAGAATTGAGATAGATTTGAAGATGAAACATGGAGTAATGAGAACAATTAATTACTTCTTTACCCTAAAAGACCTTTCAGAACTTAGCCTTATAGGCTCCAAGTGAAATAAAGAATTAGGGTTTCAGATAATCCACCCCCCCAAATCAAGTTCTCTACCACGTAATAATTTTACACAGCATCAGGGAAACATTTCCTTCTTTCAAGAGGAAAATCGTATGCTCTGAAAACTTTCCAGAATTGTTACAGTGACCTGACTTCAAATCTATTTTGAAGAACCAAAGCCAACTCTCCTGAACACAGAGTGGTGCCAACAAAACCTCCTGAGTAACATGTGGGGGAAAAAAATGAATACAGAAAAACTTAACTAGAACAATGCCATTTCAAGTTATCCAGGACATTCTACTGTTCTCCAGAGATCCTGACAATCTCCCTCAACAGTGAGGATTTTATACAACAAAGTGCATAGCTGCTCACCCTGTGCCCATCCTTTCCCCAACCCCTGCAGCTGTGACCTATCTGCCATGATCAAAGCTCCTAGTGGCTTCAGACTTGTCTACTTTGTTCTTTATCTGGGTGTTTCACTGAACCAAATCACACCTGCTTTGAAGCTGCATGCAGCAGTCATGTTCCTTGACACCATCGCCAAAGCACAAGCTGAATGGGCAATTAGCTGTGCTAGGACAGGCACCAAGGGATTTCTCTGGCACTACAGCGTAACCTAAGGTGGTGAAAATTTCCATCAATAGGTTTAAAAAATAGTGCGTTAAGACTGACAAAAGCACCCTCAAAGAAGAAATGAAGTAAACAGACTTGTGTTTTGTGAGCAATACTGATAAGCTGAAACCTTCCTCACACTCTCACACTATTTTCTAATTAAAATCCTTGCAAACGACCAAATTTACACAAGGTGAAGAGCTTAGGGTCTTCTGGATGGACATATATCTGTGTTGTAGTTCCACTGACACAAGTTCTTGGGGGAGAAAAAAGGAACTTGGTGTCTGTGACAGCACCATCTAAAATGAGGTGGCTGAATGAAAATGAGAAAGGCTTGATAGAACTCTGAAAGCAGCAGGGCAGGTAAGACTGAGAAAAGGCTACTCAACTGTTGACTCTGACTCTATATTAAAAACTTTGATAAATAGCCAGTCAAGTACTACAGTAAAATAGGTTTTAAAAGTATCAGACTCTCTGCATCTAGAAAATTTATAATCATTTCCCTCCAAATTCAGATTCAAAATATGTTTGTAAAATATCCTGCTAGTTATGTTTTAATAAAACCTAAATGTAGAAAAAAAATTTAAGTGCGTTTATAAGATAGGCATCTGCATGATACTACAGGAACACTTTAAAAAAACTTTAGCTAAAAGTACTAAGAGCTTATACCAGATATTTAAACTGTAGAACTATCACATGGCTACTTTCTAAATCAACTGCTAAAAGCACAACAAGCAAACCTGAGGCTAGTAGGAACAAAGTTATAAGCAAAAAAAGTTGAATCAAGAAAGGTTGTAAGGCACATAACTGACAAAGGGCTTCCCTCAATCTAACCATTATCTAATTTTGAGATATTAAAATTATAAATCTAAATATACTCATTTTTAAAATAACAATTGAAAAATATTTTTTTAAACACCAGGCTTGGTTTTTAGGAAGAGGAAAAGAAAATTCTAAAGAATTTTCTAATACTTCAATCTTAGCAAAGTATAGACAGATTTATCAAAACTGAATGTTAAGGCGCAGCTAGGTGGCGCAGCGGATATAGAGCACCAGCCCTAAAGTCAGGAGGACCTGAGTTCAAATTCGGCCTCAGACCAAACACTTGACATGTACTAGCTGTGTGACCTTGGGCAAGTCACTTAACCCTGATTGCCTCACAAAAACAAAAACAAAAACAAAAAAACAAAAACTGAATGTTAATTACAAAGTAATTAACCAAAAGGAGACCAATTTTAAAAATGCACATCTAACTCAAATGAACAAAAGACAAAATTTTGTGATATAAAAAGTACGCAGGAAAATTATTAGATATCCTTGAATATTCTCATTACACTAAAGAAATATACATGGGAAGTTATGATATCTGCTATGTCCTGCAAGACCTCTGGAGACCTGTTTATATTAGATGACAGGCAACATTTCTCATCACCTTGGTAGGTATTTAACCACCAGGGGATGATACAAAGAAGGCTTATAAGAAACTATATAATTCTTATTTTGAACCTTAGCTAGAAACAAGGAACAATTTATTCACTTAAAACACAAAATATATTTTAAAAGTACATTTTCTGATTTAAAATAGTATTATAACAGTCACTTATTAATTAAAAGAAGAAATTATGAAGGTTCTACTACTCACTTTAATATTTCTGTAGGTCTCATTCAGAACCATCTTATTAAATTCAGGATTCTTAAGAGTATCAAGAAAATTGGAATAAAGGCTGTGAAAGTTTGGCTCAATACTGACTCTCTTCATGACAAGATATTGTGAAACCCAAGGCATAAACTCCTCTTTCACCGTTTCCTTCAGCTCTTCAACCTGGGCAAAGAGTATTGATACGAAAAACATTTAAAGTGTAAATGGAATAAAACTAGATTATTAAGTGACCCAAATGAAAATTCAATTGTCACCTTTAAATAACTATGAAGCCATTTTCTGACAGGAAAATGCCACCACATGTTAAATGCTATTACCACTGTGTTTATACAAAATGCACTTGATACAAAAAGATTTCAACTGTAATACTACTAGGGCTGATTAGTCAACAAGACCTTAAGAGCTTACTATGTGTATGCCAGGCCCTGCCCTAAGTGCTGGGAATACAAGTAAAGGCTGTAACAGTTCCTGTCCTCCTTTTCCCACTCCTTTTCTCCACCACTTTGGGACATTTCTAAACACACCTGTCAGGTACCTTTCCCCTCTGCCCCTTTCAATTTTTCTGTGCTGTCTTTCCCCATTAGATTGTAAGCTCCTTGAGGGCAAGGACTGTCTTTGCTTTTACTTTCAATTAGCACAGTGGCCAGATCATAGCAGGCACTTACTGTTTGCTGATGACTGAAGAAGTTCACATTTTAACAGGAAAGACCAGTGATTAAGTACATTAAAAAAACACATGCTTAACATTACACTAAGACTTATGGGTCACCCTGTATATAAACAGTGGATGGAAGGTAATCTTAGAAAAGAAGGTGACAACAGCTAGAGATGACTGGAGAACTCTCTGTACCTGGAACACAAAGTTTGAGATCTCAAGTTCTAGAAATCTTTTTGAATTGAAATCTACTTGTTTGTAGGTTGACATATTATTAACATTATGTTCTAAACATAAAACAATTCAATCAGGTCTCCCTATTTACATAAAGTACATATCAGTTATATTGGCCCCGAGTGTAAACTCAGAGAGGAAAATATTCTATATGTATTTCACTTAAAAATGAGAATTATATATACATATATATATATGATAAAGCATTCAATAAATATATTTGATGAGAGTAAAGTAGAAATTGATGACATCTGTAGATGAAAAGTTGGATTTTCTAAAAAGTAAAACCAGATTTCAACAGACCTTGACAAACTTGTGTGTAATAAGTTTTAAATCTATGACAAGTCGGCAGACTCAAAATGACACTGAAGGAAAAAAAGGAATTGGGGTGCCATTCAAATCCTGATTCTCCTACTTCCTACTTGTGTGACTTTACAACCCCTCGAGCCTGACTCTTATCCCATATAAAGGCCTTTGAAGTTCCTATCAGTTTAAGAGTTAGGACTCCATGACATGAAATTGAGTACACATCTCTCAGTCTACTAACTATTTTGCCTAAATAACAAATTTATGATATAGGACATCAGAACCAGAAACTGAAAGTACTCACACACCCTTCCCCTAAGAGGCGATGTTATTAAGGGAAAATTCATGTTCACTATGGACCAAAGAACCAGAGCACACTCACCTTTTGTGTCATATTTGACTGAGAAAGGTTGTTGAAGATGAAAGCAATTTTTTCCTGAACATTTTCTGGAGGCTCCACAATTCTCTCAGTTTGGTCCGTGGCCACCAGCAGGGTATCAATATTTGTAGTATTAATAGATGGCTAGAAGGCAAAGTAAGCAAAGTATACAAAATAGAAATTCACGTCACAATTCCTCTAAGTAATTATTTCACAGCTTAACAAAGAAAGAATTCCACTTACTGGCACATCCTTCTTAAAGCTGACTCCTGTGGGCCTGGTGATTGTGATGGTTTTAGCCACAGTAGTAGTTGTTGAGGTGGTTACAATAGTGCTGACTTGACCAGCAAGAGGAGCTTTTGCTGGAACCTGGGCCTGGGCCTGGGCCTGGGCCTGGGCAAGTGCAATACTTCCAGGGGTGGTAATCGAACCTTGCATTTTCACAGGAGGGTCTCTAGATTGCTGTCCATATTCGATGTACTTTTCAAAAAGCAAGAAATAAGAATGCATTAGGTTGGGGAATATGAGAGTGAAAAGGAAAAGAGGAAGACCACTTAATTTTAACATTTTTCAACATCTCTCAAATTAGCCCCCTTCTATCTTCTGGCCCTACCACCACATGCTGGTAAAGGCTCTCCCCATCTGCTTATGGGGTCTGCCTATCCCACTTCAATCCATCCTCTAGTCAAAAAAGCTTTTTCCTAAAGCTCATGTCACCCTTCCCCACTATAATCAATAAAGTCCAGTGACTCCTTATCACCAGCAAGATCAAATACAAAATGCCCTAGATTTAAAAATTCTTGATAACCTGGCTCCTTCCCTTTCCAGACTTTCTCTACCTTACGCCTCTCTCTATGTAGTTATCCAGTGACACTGGTCTACATGGCTGTTCCTCTCACAAGACAGTCCATCTCCTGATTCAATGGCTATCCCCCATTCCTAAAATTCTCTTTTTGCTTCTACCTGCCAACTTCCCTGGTTTCCTTCAAGTCTAAGCTCCAGCTTCTGCCAGTCCTCCTGAATTCCTAATACCTTCCCTCTGAGATGACGTCCAATTCACCCTGTCTATATCTCGTTTGTATAGAAGTGTTTGTACGCTGTCTCCTCTGATTAGATCGTGAGCTCCTCCTCTTCAAGGTAGGCACTGTCCTTTTCTTTCTCTGAACTCCCAGCACTTAGTACCCAGGCACATTCAGCACTACATATACATCTTTGAGTTGATTTGACAATAGGGTATTTTAATTCTACCCCCTTCACTTCTTGAGCCATCTAGATCCATTCAGAATATGATTCTACCTTCACATCATAATGTCCTTCCCTCTATTAAGGTTAATTGTAATGCTGCTAAGAAAGAGAGGAATGAAAAGCTCTCTCAAACCCTGCTATCAATATAGTAATGACACATAATAGAATAACCCTTTGAAACTGATTATCCTTTCTGCTTACGAAACAAAGTTCAACATTAGAACTTTTAGCAAAATGGCAACCTAATCAAAATGTTTAGTCATTAAGATCTCTTTATCTCTTTTAAGATTTCTTTCAAAAACCTCATATCCAGCCAAAATGAGATTAGTCACAATGACCAAATCTTGGTGCTAGAGAACAAACAAAAAATGTACACACCACACAAACCCCCTCCCCCAGAAGTGGGGATGACAGGTACAGAATAGTTCCTGTATTGTCAGACAGTTACAGGCTGTAACCCTATTAAAACTGTCAGCAGGGCTAAAGCTGGAGATTAAGCCAAAAACAACCTTTTTTTTTTTTTTAAGTTTTGGGGAAAGATGGCAAGATCACTGCTTGAGGTGTACTGGA